AACCTCCACAACCTCTGCTGAAGCAGGATTTGCGGGTTTTACTGGGAGTGGCCCCAAGTATCTCCGAGGATGCGCATTATCAAACATGTGGTTGTCCATCCATTTTGCATGGATTCGCATGGCTGTGTATTTTCAGCAGAGGGAAGGCAAATGTATGCCAATTTGCGCAGGAAAGTGGCAGCAATTCAGCATCTCTGTTTAAAGACCCCAAAGAAGGAGACTCCACTGTTCTCCAAGGCAGCATCTTCCATTGCCAAACAGGTCTTACTGTTGGGAAGTTCTTCCTAAGGTTTAGGTGGAATCTCTTTTCCTGTAGCTTGAATCTATTGCTCCAGGTCCTAGTCTCTGGAGCAGCAGAAAAAATGTTCAGTCCTCAACATGACATCCCTTCCAATATTGAAACATGGCTACCATGTCACCCCTTTAACATTCTCTTCTCCAGGCTAAACATACCCAGCTCCCTAAGCCATTTGGTGGGCTTGATGGTTTCCAGACCTTTCCCCATTTTAGTTGCCTTCTTCTGGACACCCTCCAGCTTATCCACATCATTAGGTATGAGCTTGCCAGAGTCTTCCGATATTTGCAGGAAGGTTTCTTCTTCTCAGTCCCACGAGACAGGGCCTTCTTCAGTTCAGTTCATCTTTATTTTGGTCATAGTCCAACACAGACAAGGCCTTCTTGGTAGCTGCTCCGAAACTGTGGAATTCCCTCCTATGGGAGGCTCGCCTGGCCCCCTATATACAAAGGCAAAGACCTTTTGATTCAGGCAGGCTGTAGTGTATAATTTATATGGCAGAGAAAGGAACTTTTAATGGGGTGGTGTTTTGGGAGACGGATTGTATGTTTTAGCATATAAGCTGCCCCGGTTGTGCTACACAGAGAGGCAGGATACAAATAATAATAATAATAATAATAATAATAATAATAATAATAATAATAATAATAATAATAATAATAATAATTTCTTTGTGTGTATGTGTGCTGTGTGCTTTCAAGTTGTTTCCAACTTATGGCAACCCTCAGGCGAACCTATCATATGGCTTTCTTGGCAAGATTTGTTCAGAGGAGGATTGCCCCTGCCTTCCCCTGAGGCTGAGAGAGTATGACTTGCTGTATATCTGTATATACACTGTATAACCACTAACTCCAATCCATCGACAATGGGTTGAACAGAGACAATGGTTTCCTGGCACACTACATATATTAAAACACTGGTTAACATCCCAGCCACACAAGGGTGCTC